GTGAGTGGGCCTTCTGTTCTAATTTTGAGGGGATAAAAAGCAAAGTACTTATATTTTTCCACTGGAGGATTCTCACATGTGAAGACTGGTCACTGGAAAGTCTTCTTAGGATCCCCAAAACAGCACCCCCTAACAGCAGGAAGCAGTTTGGAAAGAATGACGAGCAAATTCCCAAATATTGTCTATAAATGTTTGTTTTCATCTAAATGGGGTTGGTTATAAATGGTTAATGATCACATTCAATCTCTTTTTAAAGGTAAAAAGGGGATTATGGTATAGAAATAAATGTGTTACTTTGGAATGAATTTTCATTTATTGATACAAATTTAAGGTCAATTTTGTGATATGTATATTTCTCCTCTTATTTAGGTATTGTGTTTATATAGCTCATTTAAAATGTAATGTATAATTAAGTACAAGTTATAGAGAGTTACCTATAATAGTCAAAAGTTATAGTTAGGTTTGTTAAGTTTTTTATAGATATTTAGAGATATATTTCAAATGGATAGGCATTCTTTAAACCTTTCAAAGACCTACAGAATATTGCATTTAAAATGGTTTAGGGTTTTTCTTGACAGTGAGACATACCTGCTTTTGGCAATACCACCTGTGTCACAAAGGAAGATGGACATCAAAGAAACTCGTTATAGAGTTTGCTTCCAATATGGCAAGACTAGCCATTTGGGCAAGATGCTGCTCTTCTCTAGACTGTTAACTATATGTTTTATAAAGTAGATGTGCAGGACCCACACAAAAGTGAAGTGACTGCTGATACAAGATGGACAGTGCCACAGGGTTCCTGCTTCATGGAACAATCTTCCAGACAGTCTGTAGGACACAAAGAAAAGTGACCGACAAACTGCCAATACAGGTGGGTAGTTTAATGTTTCCTGTTTTGCTGAAGAGTCTGCCAGACACACTATGGCCTACAAGCTGAGAGGGAACATTACAGAAGAACTTAGGGTGACTGATCAGGTGAGTTGTCTAGAGTTATATACTATCCTTCTGTGGTCTTTGATGGAGTTGAAGACAGATATTTATGGTATAGTTTTCCTAAGTTAGAATTAAAGATAAGTTACATATAAGACTTTAGACTCACATAGGATAGATGATGGAATCTTTTCTTTAAATCTTGATAAATGTTAATGGACTAAATATTGTTAACTATAGTTCTTATTTGATAACTGTTTTGTTACATATTTTACTATATTAAAGCCATTATTTTTATTTTAGACAAAAAAGAGGAGATGATGGGAGATGTCATTTTGCATTTATTTCTCTTATTGGTTAATTAATAAAGCCCTGTTGGCCAATAGGAAAGCAAGATAGATGGAAGTGGGAAACAAGGAGGAATTTGGAAGATGTAGTAGAGAGGAATCAAGATGTAGGACTTGATAGAAAAGGTTTGGACCCTTTCACCTGTAAGAAGAGACTACGTGGAAACACTGATTGATGGAAATGGGTTAATATTTAAGACAGAGCTAGCCAATAAGAAGCTCTAGCCACTGGCCAACATCTTTATAACTAATAGAGTCTCTGTTATTTTGGGACTGACATGGCTCTGGGACCAGCTGACGGGAAACTGCTCCAAACAATAAAGATTCAACCCAATGTATGATACACAGGAACAGTGCCCATTTCCTCTAAACACTAAAAAAGATGAAGGTAAAGCCTAATATGAAACTTAAAAAAAATAAATGTTGTAATCATAAATAGATTCCTGTAGCAGGGCATAGTGGTACATGCCTATAATCCTAGCATTTGGGAGGCTGAGGCAAGAGTATTTTGAGTTTAAGGCAGGCCTAAGCTACACAGCAAGTTCAATTCTGAAAACAAAAATTCTCTAAACAAAGCACATTGAAACTGTTGTATACTATCCAGTTAGGACTGGAGAGGTCTAAAAAATACACTAAGCTGGCCAGTCAGTGGTGATGCATGCCTTTAATCCTAGCACTCTGAGAGGCAAAGGCAAGTGGACCTCTGTGAGTTTGAGGCCAGCCTGGTCTACAAAGTGAGTTCTATGACAGGCTCCAAAGCTACACACAGAAACCCTGTCTCAATTGAAAAAAAAAAAAAGTGGGCAGATTCACTAAGCTGCAGACATGAGGGTACACAGCTTTATTCTCAGCACTCAGAGATAGATGCAAGTAGATCCAGGGCCAAACAAGTTTACATCATGAGATCCAACCTCAGAAAGAGAAACAAAAAATAACTCTGTTAAGTTAGTAATATATTAATATTCAAAGAACATATCCCAGAAAATGGATGCTACAACAGGCTGTTACTCAGGCTAATTGGCCAGCAAAGCTTTAGTGTCACTCAGTTGCCCACATATGTTGTTAACACCTGCTTTGGTACAGTGCTGGGTGCTGAAGTCAATGTAACAAGACCTAGGTATAGGAAACCTTCTGTCACACTACTTATGTTTACTGGGAACAGGAACCATTTTCCGTTCAGTCTGCAGATATTATCCTCACTTCCTTTAGCACATTTCCTCAAGATGCTCTGAAGAAATCACTGATACTACACTGCTAGGCATGCAAGCCAGAAGAACAGACCAGGTGACATACACCTCCAGTTATGAGCACTGGTTCAAACAAACTGAAGATAAATGTGGCTTACATTAGAGAGCACTGAATCCATTCCTATTATTCACATGGCCACTGACTCTCTGTTACTGGAGAATGAAAACATTATTTATAATTTCAAAGTCAATCTTATGTACACCTGTGTGAAGGACTGCACACATCAGGCTGATGGGGATGTCCTTCTGTATGCTGTGAATATATGTTTCTCTTATTGGTTGATTAATAAAGCTGTTTCAGCTGATATAGCCAGTCAGAAAGTATAGGCAGGGTTACCAGACTAGGAGAATACTGGGAAGAGGAACAGAGTGTCTCAAGAAGATACCATGTGGCTGCCAAAAAAGCAAAAGGTCTGGGCATTACCAGGTAAGCCAAGACCATGTGGAGGTACACAGATTAATAAAAATGTATTAATAATTAAGAGAGAACTAGCCAATAAAAAGCATGAGCCATAAACCAAACGGTTTATAATTAATATAAGCCTCTGGGTATTTATTTGGGACTAAAGAACCACAGGACTGAGCAGGACGGAACCTTCCATCTAAATCATGCCCTACTCCTCTTCAATTATTAGTAAGAACAGCATTTCAATGTGCATGTATAAGCCTCCCTTGGGGCTGCCTTGGCAAAAGGCAAAGCAGACTATTTGACACAGATATGCCTGAGGTATTGCAACACTCACAGTGTAAGAACATCACAGGCATCCAAGAATTATCTGATAAATTCCTAAAAAGACAACAGTTTCCTGGCCAAAATGTCCTTTTCATGTGTTTTGCTGTTGCTTAATATGTATGTTCCTGTCTGTGGGAGTATACGAGAGCAGTTGCAGCTGAGGGCTAGATGCGTTGGATCTGCTAGAGCTGGAGCTACAAGAGGAAGCGAGCTGTCTGAAGTAGGTGATGGGAACTGAACTTGGGTCTTCTGTGAGAATAGTATGTGCTCTTAACCACTGAGCCATTTCCAAGCTCTTAATATAGGTTCATATTAAATGAGATTGTGTAATTGTCCCATTTCTAATATCATGCTGTTAGTACTTAGAGAACTTGCTTAGAGCTCAAGTATGAATAGCAGTACAATCCGCAGGTTCTCCATACCTCAGATGAACATTTTATCAGAACAGCTACATACAAGGTTTGTAAGGCAGCAGCAGCAATAAACAACTATCTGTGCTTCTTACTTAGTTTAACAAAAGAAAATACCATGCTCAGACAGGGACACATGCCAACTCTATGGGCATCTTCTTGCTCCTTGTTCAGCACAGTGATGTTCACTGTTTGGTTTTTATATCTTTGTCTTTTCTAGTCCAGGGGAAATCTTACATAGACCTACAAAACCCACAAACTACAGCAGAATGGCTGACACATATTAGTGCTGAAGTAACCTTGAAGGGGATAACTACAGTGGTTTCTCTGGTGATTTGTAATCTTCCTAGAAGCTTTACTACTCTTGCCTCTCTACACTGAGAAGCTCAAGTAAGCATGGTTCACCAATTAATGATTAGTTCATGGGGGGAAGGGGAACCCCACATGTTCTTCTTGTCATCACAGGACTGTCATGTCCTCCTTCCATGTCACTGCCAAACCCTCTCACTGCTGCTACTGTTTCTTTTAGAAGGTGCTTGGATGTGCTGGGGACACCACTTTCATGCAGTAATTTCTACTTTACAATCTAAGCTCCTAAAAGACTTTCATTGGGAATAGTTTTCAGTTAGCACACTCACAACTCAGAAGCATTTCATCTTAAAAAGGAAATCAGATGACTTATTTAGAAGACTAGCAAAGCCCCTGGCGATTCTCACGAAGGGATTTCTGTATCACTGCAACAGAAAGCTAGACACACCTGCTGAAGATGAAAAGTTACATGCCAGCTTGACTGATGTCTGGCAGTTTAATGTCCATCTCCAATTTCACCGTCTAGCATTTGGGTGATGGTGCAGTTTAGTGTCATGGGAGCAAATGGAAGGTGTCAACATTGCTACCCTGTGCTTTTAGCTGCTCTCACAAGGTCCGGAGAAGCTCTGCCAAGGCAATATCATTCATCTCCCTGCCTGGCTTCTCAGAGATAAAAATGGTGAGCTTCTCCTCAACCAGCCCAGCTTCAGACAGAACACACTGCAGCCTTTAACTGAGAATGCTCATAGACATGGCACAGTTTTCGACTCTCCCAAGGAAGCCAGCATGTAAGAGTCCAGATTTATACTAAAAGGAGTAATTTAATGCCTCAGGAAGAGAAACTTTCAATGGAAAAATAAACCTTGAGGAAAATTACCTTAGTTAAGTTATAATGTCAGTGTAGGGTACTGCATTTCGAGGCACGGCCTGCGGTGCTAGTGAAGGACATGAAAGCCATTCACAGAGAGAACAGCCCTTCAGCCTTGTGTGACATCAGTACATAAAAAGACAAGGCCTACCCAGGTTACTAATTCAAAGATTTACTTGCTCAGCAGAAGTTGGCTTAGGAGACAGTTAAGTACCAGCCCTCATTCTCCTTTGGTGTTCTCAGAACTTCCCAGTGGACCCCAGTGATTCTCAGCTGCACTGCACATCCAGGATAATCAAATCTGGAGGGAAGTCCAGAAGCATGAGTCTTCATTTCCCCAAGTGGCTGAAATGTGCAGCCAGGTTGCAGGCCATGCTGCAGCTCTTCTAGAGGCCACTGCATGAAAGCACAGGGACAGTTCCAGGCTAGACAGTTCCACTGCTTCCAAGTTACAGGAGCAAAGGGTCTTTTTAGAGAAGAACATGGTTGTGCTTCCTCTAAAGGCACCGGCTGCTGTCTGGAGGTGCCGACTGTCAGAGGTTATCTGGAGCGCTGGTTGTAAAGAAGAAAGTCCTTGTCTTGGCAGAGCAGGCAGAGTTTCAGGCTTCGGCAGCTACCTCCAGCAACAAAAAACGCCCAGATGCCCATGAGCACCATGATTATATATGCTGATACCAGATTTAGTCCATAATAAGGATTTAGGAAGGTCTGAAAAGGAAAAATAAGTCAGCTTTTGAAACCTGTGGAATAAACAGAGATAGAGGGAAACACACAGCTTTCAACAGCTGGACTGCATCTCACAAACAAACACGAGATGACTGTCATGTGTTGAAGACACAGCAGAAGGCACAGCAGACACTGGTCTATGAACTTGCATTTTGCTTGGCTCAGATGGCAACCCCAAAAGAAAGCTGTTAGTCAGAAGCTAATGGGATACTTAACAGAAAGTACCTGGCCCTAGTTTATAGCCATTTCTGGGTTAATATAAGTGGCTCTAAGAATTTGCAACCAAGTCGGGTACATCTAGATTATTTTAATGTGAACCATTAGTATTCAGAGGAACATGTGAAAACAGAGTTATGTTTTTGGCTGTACAATTGCTATGGATTCCAAAAGTTTAATCCTTATGAAACTCTAACAGGAATACAGCTCAGAGGAGGAGTGCATGCTCATTATGCATGATGCCCTGGGTTCAATCCCCAGCAGCAAAACATGACTGACAGAGTGCTGCTACAAGGTGCAGTGAGTGGAATTACTGAAGGCAAGTCTCCACCATCAAGGAACTTAAATGCTACTAAGTAGCACAGACAATGAAGAAGTAATTAAATAAATAATCAATGGCAAAATATGATGGATAGTAAGACAGAATAGTTAACAGCTGTGACGAATGCCAGGATAAGAACAAGGTGATCTACTTAAGGGTGATGGAGATCCTGATAATATGGCATTTAACCTGACACAGATAGCAAGAGGAATTAACTAACCCTGTGCAGACTAGCTATGGGAGGAGCACAGGTGAGGACAGATAGCTGGATACAGATGGAAACTAGAGCCAGCCAGTATGAATACAGTTTAGGAATGGAGGATCAGGTGAGGTCAGACAACTGCGAAGTCTGTGAATTAGTAGTGTGTTATTCTCTGTGAAATGTAGGATCATAGAAAAAGTTTAGGTTGAAATAATAATGATTGATTTTGGTTTTTCAAAGCTGAATAAAATGATTAAAGGAAATTGTGGTGAAGCAAGGAGATGAGGTAGGAGAAGATTACAGCTGGTGGAGCTGGAGAGTGGACAGGAAGAGCTCACAGGGCTTGCTGGTGGATTGAATGTGAGGCAGATACCAAGACTGCCTCTTACATTTCTGGTTTGATGATAAATGAAGTGTTAAGGATGCAAAGTTTTGAGGAATATCAACCTTGAAAGATGTTAGGAGGAAGAGGCAGGAACAAGCTTGCAAGTATGGGTATGAATAATATAAAAAAAAAATCATGGTTACTAGTAACAGGCCATGAGATTTCAAAAGGCAGACATCCAATAAGCACTTTAATGTATGAGTATAATATTTAGAGGACAGAGCAAGGAAAGGAAATGCACTAGCCCAGCCTCCACATGGAACTTAATGTCATACAATGGATGAGAGTTCCCAAGGAGCTACTTCAGACAATGGAAGATTAAACCCTAAGATACTCCATCATTTCTAAATCTCTGAAAGAGTATAAGAGTCAGCAATGTCCAGGTGGTGGTGGTGCATGCCTTTAATTCCAGCAACTCAGGAGGCAGAGATAAGCAGAAAGAACTCTGTGAGTTCAAGGCTAGCCTTGTCTACAGTGCAAGTTCCATGACTACACAAAGAAACCCTGTCTTGAAAAACAAAACAAAACAAAGAGACAGCAAAGGATTCAAGAATAAAGTAAAAGAAAATCATAATAATGTTTGTAGCAGAAGTCAAGGAGTAAAGTAAGGGACCAACCAATCCTTTTTAATGGCTGTTGAGCTGGAGAGATGGCTCACTTGCTGCTCTTAGACAGGACTGGCACTTGATTCCCCAGCACTCATAAGGAAAACTCACAATTGACTGTAACTCTAGCTCCAGGGGATCTGATACCCTCTTGTGACCTCTGTGGGTACCTATACATACTTGCATATATGTGCACATTGACCCACATATATACACATAAGGAGAATAAATGTTAGATAAAATGTTAAAAGCTGCTATGATGAACAAAGAAAAATTTCCATTTTGATTGGTATAAATGAGGCTGAAAAGGATGGTTTGAGCAGAAGCCAGACTAGGTTAGATATCTGAAGCAAAGAGAAGTAGACAGAGTCAATGAGATGTCTCAGTGGGTAAAGACACTTGCTGCCAAGCCAGACGATGTGAGTTGCAGACTGGCACTGTGATACTGTCAGTAAAGAGTGAAACCTGTATATCTGCTACTGGTCAGAATGTGTAAAGAGTCACCACCTTAAGGAGCCTGGCTTAGCATTTGTATAAAGGACTCAAAATAATCACAGCAATTGACTTATAGTCCCCTGCTTCAAAACTTAAAACGTATGGGGAAAATCCAATGCACATAGTCACATGTGCCAAACAATAACAGCCAAAACAATAACAAAAAAGGGAAGTGATTAACCAAATAAATCAAAAATAATTTTCACCTGAAGATTTAAACTTAACTAAAATTCATATCTTAAGGAATTGGCAATGGAGGAAAATTGCTTCAGTATGCTTCATAACATAAGCACAATGAAAACTATTCTGGGCTTGACCATACATCCACTAAAGGACAAACATGAGGAAAACCTCTAATGAGACAGAGCCCCCCTCCCCAAATTAACTAGACTGTCACTCTACTAAAACAACGTGACTCACTGTCCACTTCCAGGGCTTCTCTGATGCCCTCATTTTCCCATGAATGTGTCCTTCATTTGGGTTAACCCGCCACTCAGACCTCTGCACTTGAGCTCTGCAAGCACTGAGAACACAGCGGCAACACTCACCTGGGTGGACACCAGCAGGTGAGTCAGGAGAACTGTAAGGAGGACATACCACTTTTTCTTCTCACAGCCATCAAAAAACACAATGCCCCAGAACACATGCAGCAGTATGATAACCAGCGTCATGAACGCTGAAAAGACAAGTCAGCAATTAGCAGCCAGTCCAGCAGACAACAGTCACCAAACCTGGCCAAACCCCATCACTATGCACTGGCTCTGAGGGTCCCCGGCCTGCAGTGATGGAATCTGACCACCAGTGTACAAAACTGGTTTGATAAGAACTCCATGTTAACTTCTGAAGAAGCATATCTGGATGGGGGTCCAGCCTTTCTAGAAGCTATTGCTCTAGAATATGAACCTGTTTGACAAAAGCCAACTTGGGTTTGACTTTCAAGGAGTTTCCCTGAGGTATACACCATGAGATTAGTATATATCTACACAGCTTATTTTCAATTAGCCTCTGGCCTTACATAGAGAATTTTCTCAATTGAACAAAGCATCCTCCGTCCGGGGAATTTCTCTTCAGAAACTTTTTTAGGGAATGTAATGAAAAATTTAAAAATCAATATAATTATCTTATACTTTTTAAGCAGATGGCAGTGAATCTGATCAGCACATGTCTCTAGAATACTGCCTGTGTAGGTGTCTAGTGTCCTGGATAACATATTTCTTCTTTAAAGCAGGCAAGTCCCTTATATTCTGCACACTTTAACATGAAAAAGGGCATATAGATTTTTCTTTCCTGCCACATAATAAAGAGATCGTAAGCTTTAACCTACCAGACAGAAAAACCCAGGCTAGAGTTCTCAACTACTTGAAGGTAAATAACCTGGCATTGCCAAGCGAAGGAAAACAGTTGCCTCTATTTCAGCTCAGCAAGGCATTCGAGCTACACTATATTCTGTAGACTATATACACTATATACTCTATCTGTATTCCAAATGAGTTAGTTCTCAAATCAACAGATACCTATCCTAGGGACTTGTTATCAGTGCAGCCTACTGGTACCCACCCCTTCCTAGAGAATCAATGCATGGTCAAGTTTCAGAATCCTGCCAAGGAGGCATTATTATAAATGTGCATAAGGAGATATAAGAATATTTACATCAGCACTGCAGCAGAAACAGAGAACGCTCACTGTTACCTGCTTCTGCCTCCACTTCCCTGTGCTGCACCACCTTGCCTGCTTTGAGTTCTATGTCTCTGACACAAGGATGCATTTGGAGAGTCATAGACCATCTCTGTTACGGTCATTTGGGTCTAGATAAGTGCAGAGGAACTTGAATGTTCATCTGAGATGTCTGACTTGATTTTGGAGGCAAAATCATCACATGTGTAAGTAAATTACAGTGTACTCACATAGTGAACTGCTGTATATGACCCACAACATGCTGAGTGAGAACAAACACACTGTAAAATGAATATTATTCATATGAGGTAAGAGATCCATAAAAATATTAAAAGAACGTAACTGTTGTGGCTAGAGGAGAGTAAGCTATCACATCTCTGTGACAGTGTCTTCATGTCAGGCTCTGGAAGGCCACACTAAAAGGATTCAATTCAAGTGCAGTTATCACTTCCTAAGGACAGGTGCCTGTCAATAGTGCGAGACTAAGACCACTTAAAATGCCCAGGGGATAAGCAAGAGTTTTAATTTTTTTTTTCCCTCTGAGTCAAAAAAGACCAAGGCAAAAACTGACACAATGGGATTTTTTTTTTTAAATCATGAAGTGTTCATATTCTAAGAAAGGGTTCTCTAGGACCTAGATGTTAATCAAATGTCAAGAGGAATCACTACCACAGGCATTTGCCATCTTAGCAGCCTCTGCTTGCTCTTCTCTCTAGGCATTGCCATGGGTACTGAGAATAGCTAAGTGTACTCCCAGGGTCCAGCTAATGCTCTAACATTTTCCAGCCTGTTCATATGCAAAATAGCATCCTCTGAACCTCATTGGTCCTGACTGTGCTTCCAAATTCTAGGTCTGAATGTCTTAATCCTTCCAGCTAAAAAGTCTGATGGACTGACTTTGTCTTCAAAGTCAAATCTCAGACTAGCATTCAAGTTCCTCTACAGTCTAGACCCAAATGACTTTAACAGCAGATCCTCTATAACTCTTCAACTGCATCCATGTGTCAGAAATGCGGAACTCAAGCCAAGCACAGTGGTGCAGCACTTGGGAGGTAGAGACAGAGGCAGGAGGTTCAGAAGTTCAAGGTCATTCTTGATTTGCTTATGAGACATCCAGTCATACAAAGTAGAATTTAACTAAGGTAGTGCTGTCTCCCAAATATCCCCAAAATAAGTAGTTTGCTAACCAGGCCTATTAAACAAATTTTAGGATGCTAGGATATAAGTGTTTGCTCATCAGGATTGACCAGGTTAGGCTCCATTCCCCTATAACAACAGAAACAGCTCTAACTTAAAACCAACCATTATGCCTACCCTGATATCAAACAACATGCCTCTAACAGACAGCTCAAGGGGCAGCATAGGGTCTCAACCACTGTCAAGTCCTGGTGTGCCATAAAGCCCACAGTTCCCTTCTTGAGATAGCATAATTTTGCCAGATGGGCAAGATGACCCCTGGTCACAACTATTGAAATCAACCAACCAACCAACCAACCACACTAGCATATTTAAAGTAATTCTGGCAATATCTTTACTGTTTAAATCTCTCATCTGGTAAATTGCCTGATTTACATTCTTCTGTCTCTAATTGCATGTGTAGCCTGGGTGTGGGTGGGAATGGGGAGATTTAAGAATGACAGAGTATATAAAATTCATAAGCCTAAAATGTGGCAGAATCTTGCTGGTCTAACACCAGAGTAATAGCAACTAGCCTTAATCCCTGCTGGGTCACACCAGGCCTAGCTTCAAAGAGTAAGCAGCTAGCCCTAATCCATCCTCTGTTGAGCAGATACCTTTGGTCCCCCTTTGTGAACCTTGTCTGAGAGTTCCCCAAGGATACAAAAGCCTGTGCAAGATTTGGTTTGGGAAATGGAAAAAACTGTGGTACCTGATGAATCAAGAATTTGCATTTGACATTGTATTTTTTGGAAGCCTCATTCAAGTTGTTCTTAGCAAATGATACACAACTGGCTAAAGTGTAAATATTGAGAAAAATAAAAATGCCCTTGGCATAGGGAAAGTGCTTCAGTCCATCAAGGCTGAAGACCCCTGTAGCTGTGGAAGGCTAAGTTCATTCTTTAAAGTGTCTCTGAGTCTTCTTTCGATGGACCCCTGTGAACCCATACTCACCCCTCCATATCCAAGACACTACATACTCACCCCTCCATATCCAAGACATTAATAATATATAAGTTAGCAAAATCTACTATTGGGGGCTGACTCTTCTTTGGGCATTAGCCATAGCTGGATGCATACTGTTATTAAAGAACATTTGTTTATTAATCTCTAAGTGTGCAGAGTGATTTCTCACTGGGATGACATATTTAACAGTGACAGGAGAGAACTGACTCCCACAAGTTATCCTCTGACATCCAACATATGCCATGACACAACAAATACATCCTCTGTGAAGGCAGCAAGCTAGTCTTCCCTGTTTGAAGTCTTTGGCTTTCTGAGGCCCTATAGCATCTAGTTCAGACCCTTTAACTATTACTGTGAGTTAAGGGAAAGTTTGTTAATGGGCCATGCTTATTAATGTTGCCTCCACATGGCAGCTTACCTTTGTAAATATTGACCACCAATTAGGCTCTATTCCCATACAAAATAAGATGACTTACACCTGACCACTAGACCCATCCCCATATCAAAGAACATGCTTCTAATAGGCAGCTAAACATATGGTGGCAGCTACTATTAAGGCCTGGTACATCATTAAGTCCCATGTGCTTCTGTCAGGAAAAGCCTAATTCTGCCATGTGACCCTGGCAAACAATTACTCAAAAATAACATTAGTGTACTTAAGAAATAATTGTGGCAATGTCTTTGCTATATAAATCTCCCAAGTGGCCACACTTGATGTTTCCTATCTGTTTAAATTGTTCCAAGTGTAACCTGGGGCTAGGATCCAAAAGAGATTTAAGGTTAACATGTATATGTCTAAAGTCTGTATAAGGTGGAAAATGTTCCGTTTGAGGCTGGTTCCCTTTAATTCATTAGTCAGAACAAGTCACACACTATTATTACGGATCTTTTTCCTTAATCTTTAAGTGTAAAGAGTAATTTCTCATTGGGAATGCATGTCAATTCTATGCCACAACAATAAAATAATCTACAGTGTGAATGCTTCCACCTCTAGAAATCAGGCCATGAAGGCACCCTGATGTTTACACTCTCACTCTTGTTATCAGAGATGTGGGAAGGTTTCAAGGGGAATACAGGGGGGAACTGGCACGGTAGAGTCGGGACAAGACAGAAGAAATGCTGTGGAACAAGTCAACAAACACCAGGATGCCTAGTACATGTGTCCCACACAGCCAGAATCACATGGGTTCTAGCTGAGGTAGTTGACTAATAAAGCTAAAAACAGTGAAATTTTCCCTTCCATATTTTTATAGTGCTGGGTTTAGTTTCATTTAATGCTTAATGATTTCTAAGGTGGGCATTTTCCCCTTCAATTTGTATTTTCTTTAGACAGTGCCTCTGCCTCCTGAGTGCAGGGACGTACAGGCATACACTACTATGACCAGATTTTGGTCATTACTTCTTTCTGAAAGAATTTGAAATTGAGGCCCACAGGGGACAGGCCTTTTCCTTCCACTTGGAACAGCCTTCCTTGAAGCTCCTTCCTTTGTTGCACTAAGTATTATTCCTCTTAAGTAAATTTCTATTCAAATGGTAATTCCTCCATAAGCTGTGACTAGCTTTTATTTTTCAGTAAGTATTTTTAAGTGTCATCTAGTAACAAAGGACTCCAAGAGCCTCTGGGGATGGAAATGAACGAGATAGCCATAGCTCTTGCTCATATAGTTTAGCACACAACTGGAGAGAGAGAGGCATTAAACAATAGTCACTGCAATCATTCACAGCTGGGGTAAATATGACAAAGGCAAAGAAATTTACTGTGACCATATGAGTCAACATGTCTCTTCTCTGTAACATTTATATTAATCTTTGTATTTGTTATTATTCAGAAGGCTTGGAGAAGTTTTTAATAATTATTTATTGAATACTTAATTAAATACCCAAAAGGACTTGTTCCCAAATATTAAATTAATGAGCTAGGATATGACTTAACTTGGAACCTCAATCCCATACTTCCTTCTCTACCAAGCATTTCCAAGAAACATTAATGAGTCTAACATAATGCTGGCCTGTTCCACAACTACCACCGGTAAAAAAGAACTAACTTACACTTCATAAACTATGCCTGTCTGTAACAACAACAACAAAAATCATGTACATACAGTTATCATAGAATATGTGTATTATTAACATAACAGACATAGATGCTAATTAATGACCTCATGTTCCTTATTTTAATTACAATTTTAGGAATGAAGCTACTCTTCCAAGGGACTCATTTTTATTTAGTTAGTTAATTTTTGATAATTTTTTTAAATTTAAATTTTAAACAAGCTTGTTTTACATGTCAACCCCAGTTCCCTCATCCTCCCCTCCTCCCGTCTCCCCACCACCCCCATCCCATCCCCTTTCAGCTGGGACTCATTTGTAAACTGGACTTGAAAACAGCCTGGTTTACTGAAAGGAGATAGCACCCTCTAGAGGACAAAAGTCAGAAATGCGTGAGGATATGAAGATAAGAACTCCTTTGACACTATAAACTGTATGAAAACTCAAAATACAAAAGGTGCCTTCTTAATTTCGACTAGACTCTGACAGACATTAGCCATTAAAACTACATTTGCTTTTTTTTTTTTTACAAACCAAGCATTATTATCATTTAAATTTTATGCCAGGGGGCTGGAGAGATAGACCAGTGGTTAAGAGCACTGAGAGCTGTTCCAGAGGACCTGGGTTCAACTCCCAGCATCAACATAGCAGCTCACAACTGTCTATAAATCCAGTTCCAGGGGATCTGAGAATTTCACACAGACATATATGCATGCAAAGCACCAATGCCCATTAAATAAAAAATCAATAAACCATAAAAAAAAATGTTAGGAATATTCCAGTTTGGGAATATTCACAAAGGCTACCTACTGTGTTGGAGGCAACATTAATAAGCATGACCCATTAACACACTTTCCCTTAACTCATTGCAAGAGTTAAAGGGTCTGAACTGGATGCTAAGGCCTCAGAAAGTCAGACTTTTCAAACAGGGAAGACTAGCTTGCTGGCTTCACAGAGGATGGATTCACTTGAGATGCTGACTGCATTGATGTCCACAGGAGAGGCTAAGATTTGAACTAACAAGGAAACCTAGACTGGTCGAGGACCGTCTCTGGGTTCAGGGATTGTCATGATGTCTCTAAACTACTACAGCTTTTAAAAATGGGCCATTTCTCTTTATAACTTTTTATTCTATTAAAAGCTACTGAAATACTATTTAGTGTTTGGTCATATTTCCATAAAAGATGGTAAGTTCCCTAATGAGCTTTAGCCTGAATGTGAACATTGATTTAATTGAAAAAATTGGTATGTGAGTTCACATATTTCAATGACATAACTGTTGTTGGTCTAGACAACTACAGAACAACATATTTTCCTCTATTTTTAAACAAAGTGAAATTTAGTAAAATAATATTCTAATTATGAAACAAACTTGTGATCATTGTGTCATATGTTGTAGTTGGTGAATGAAAGCAATGTGAAGAGTTGGTCCTTTGTAACTGCACCTTTGCATAAAAAGATTAATTCATCTACTATTTTTCTCTCTGAATTTAAAGATCAAATCATGCTGCTTATCTGTAAAAGGCACAGGGTTATAGATTAATCAAAGATTAGAATTTAGGACTAGGGGTCTTGTGTTGAATCCCTAGCACTGGGAAAGAAAAAAAAGTAGGGGCTTACAGGTTTATATTGAAGATACAATGACAAAACAAAGAGGATTATCTCATGAAAATTAGCTGCTAATGTTTAAATTATACTGTAACATTAAGTAAATATGTATAAATCTTTGTTTTGCTTTTGATGTTGTGAGATTTTGTTTTGTTTTTTCTTTTGTTTTGTTTTGAGATAGGGTTTTCTCTGTGTAGCTTAGAAGGCATGGAACTCACTCTGTAGACTAGGCCAACCTCAAACTCACAGAGTTCTTTTTGCCTGACTCTGCCTCCTGAATGTTGTGGTTAATGGTGTGTGGCACCTGCCTGGTAAATATATAAATCTTTTGCAAGATAAAATCCTGTAATCTTCTAAAGCACTCCAATCAAATCCATGTCCCCAATCCCAGGTCCTTCACTTACAGAACCTAGGAATATCTTCCCCTTAAAAGAATTCACTTGAATTCTGAAGCCAGTGGATGGCAATAAGGATGATCCTTTAGAGCAGGACCCTGAACACCCACAGCTATGGCACATACCTGAATTAAGGAAGAACTGTGGAGAATCCCCATGAATGCCCACCGTGCCTGGCCCCAAGGAGTCAGACAGGGTGTTCACAAAGGAAAACACTCCGCTCATGATTCCAAAGCCCAAGCCAGAAACTAAAGAGGAAGAAAAACACCATTAAGCCCCTTTCCTGTTATGAGTTCAGTTCAAATCTCATTTGCAAGGACTGGGGAATACTATTTCACTGCAGGGAAAAGGCTACACCTGCTGTTGCTGAAGCATCAGACAGCCAGCTCTGGAAGGCTAAGTGAGAAAGGAGAGGAGGAAAGGAAGTACAGGAGGCAGTAGGTCAATGAACAAAGGAGAGGCACAGAAGAAACTAGAGAGGAAGAAGAGGGTAATGTGCTGAAGGCCCTGGCTTTGGTTTATTGTAGCCAAACTGTGAGGGAGTAACTGTGATTCCAAGGTGGGATCTCTGGGCCAGACTGAGATAATTCTACACCCACACCCACACCCACCCCCCCCCCCCCCCCCACACACACAAGAGAGAGAGAGAGAGAGAGAGAGAGAGAGAGAGAGAGAGAGAGAGGAAGAGTTTGCCTGCTTGAGTTTATGTGTACCATGTGCAGGCTGTGCAGGTGTTGGATCCCCTAGAACTAGAGTTACCGGTGGTTGTGAGCCATCATCTGGGAGCTGGGAACTGAATTCGGGTCCTCTGCAAGAGCACTGGGTGCTGTTAACTGCTGAGCCCCATCTCTAGCACTTCTGTTATTTTTCTTCATGACCCCACAGGGTCAAACTTACCATAGGCCAAAAGTCGCATTGAGGGTGCTGTCTCCTCAGGGTTTATGCTTTTCAAACCCTCACTGGCTCTTCTAAAAGAAAGACACATTATTTTTATTTTTAAATAAAAAGGCTTATATCAGGCAAGTCACAGGACCCTTCAAAACTAGATATTTAGTGAGGCTTCTGATCAGGTTGAACTCCATTTAAATGAAATCCAGCACATTTTTTGATAACTGAAGTCAAGTGACTAGTCTACTAACCTCATCTAGGTGATATCTCCATAAAAGGAAAAGTTAAAATGTTAATAACAAGCCAACAGGAGTTAAATTCAGTGGGAATAATAGCAATACTTAATTTCTGAGGGCAATAAAATATTTATCTCATTATCCTGAGGGATCTACCACTCTGAATTTTCTTCTCCCCAAAGTCTTATGTCTTTATCTCCAACTTAATGGCATTCTGTTGAACATTTCACTATGCCTGTATTATCTCAATGCCCATTCTACTTCCCAATTCAAAGGACCAAAATCACTCTCACCCTTCTAACAGCAGTTTTTTTTTCCTTTTGGTGTAGTAACTAAGATCCTGCCTCATAAATGTAAGAACATGATCTATCACTGAGTAACACCTGCAGCCTGCCCCTAACCTTTCCCATTTCTCCCAATAGCAATTTATTAAAGTAGCTGACATTCTGCAGAGTCAAATTCTCACATTGTTACTTAATCATAAGGTCTTTTGATTCCAAACTATTTTACATATTTGACTCATGTTCCCAATTCAGGAGCACATGAAGTCTGATATTTCTATAATACCCTTATGAAATGCTGCCTTTAGAATAAGCTATAAATATTTAACTGAAAAAACAAATATTTTCAGTAATAAATAAATTCAGAGCATGATCATACACATTATCCAGGCAGTTTACAGATATACCAGGAATCTGCCTCTGCCCCCTCCCCTATCTCCATGCAGACATATTAGGAATTCTAGGTGTGATTTGTTATACTACTGTCTTTATTAAAAATTGCTGCTGGCCAGAAACTCTACAATCATTTAAAAGCCAACTGAAAGGATATTTAAATGATCCATACTGTAAAGTATATCTATTAAAGTAACAAAAGAACCAAAATACTTTGGAATGACCCATCAGTCAGTGCTGAAACAAAAGGAGGTGAGATGAACCCTAAGATCAGACAAGTTAACCAGAACATACTTATTTCCAAGACACTGCATTATTTTAAACTTCAGGGAAGCCAGGTGTGGTTGTGGTGACTCGTTTCTGCAATCTTAGCCCTTGGGAGGTTGAGGCAGGAGGACTACGGCATGTTGAAGGCCAACCTGGGCTATACAGTGAGACTCTATTCAAAAGATCAATGTAAAATAAAATTTAAAATCCCAAGGAACACATAGTTATTACTGTTGGTCAATTCATCACATAAACACAGAATCACTGCACAAATATAAATATCACTGGTCATATTTGGTAATGTAAAATTCAACCAAAATAGCCAAGTGAATACTGAAAAGTCTCCTCTGATTTTTTTGAAACAAAAGGAACAATTTAGGATTCAGTGTTGTCTATTTGGAAGCACTGTTTGGCTGGAAAGATGTGACCCATATATTTATGTGACTGTCTTCATATTTCTCTGGAGCAGCAACCAACTAAATTGTACAATTTTCCCTAATAAAACAAATCTACCTGTCAAAGGAAATCTGTTAAAGGTTAGTTCAACCTTATGAGTTATACAACAGTAGTAATCTATAGCAACAAATGCACCCACATAGTTTAATCAATAAATTTGGGAGGATTTCTGTTTTGTGTAAGTGTTTTTCTCTATTACACATACTGTGGTATTGCAATCAGGAATATATTAAGTTTCTAGGCAATGGTGACCCTTGTCAGAAATACCAGCAAGGCCAGAAATTCAAGGTCATTCTCAATTGCATACTGAGTTGGGAGTCATGTGGGGATATACGAGACCTCCATTTTAAAATGACTTTTAAAGTTTTAAAATAAAATAAAGCAAATAAAAACAAAATCACAGAAAACTCAAATGGTGTATCTCTATAATCTCACTCTCATATGTACACTCAAAAGATACTAAATGAGACAGAGGAGGTGGTGCACGCCTTTAATCCCAGCACTCAGGAGACTGGGGCAGTTGGGTCTCTGTGAGTTCAAGGCTGGCCTGGCTTATATAGCAAATTTCAGGACAGTCAATGTTACATAAGGAGATGCTGGTTTATAAAGGTAGATAGATAGATAGGTAGGTAGGTAGGTAGGTAGGTAGATAGATAGGTAGATAGGTAGATAGATAATTTATCAATAGTTTTGAAAATTTTATGTTGTAAAGGTTGGAACTTTTAATTTTTGTTCTTGGGAATCTGGTAGCAAATGTAACAGAATTTCTACTTCAAAAAACAGAAGAGATGTCCTGTCTAGCACAGTCATCTATTTTGTTCATCAGGAACTTGGAAACTCATCACATTTTGTACTTTCTCACTTCCTAATATTAGCAGTGAACTGCCAGGGCTGCAACATTTCCTCTCACAAACTCTGCAATACAGAATGGGGAAGTTTACTCAACTTCTGAATTCATGTATCTAAGATATTTGGAGTTTTCCTTTGGTTTATTTGTTTGTTTTGTTTTTGAGATGGTCTCATGTATATGGCTGGCTTCAATATCATTATGAAGCTAAGATTGCAGGTGTGTGCTTTCATGCCCACTTTATTAGGTCCTGGGATGGAGCCCAGGGCTTCGTGTTTGATAGGCAACTACTCACCAACCATGTTACATCTTCTAGACCCTAATATACCACTTTAGAAATTTTAAAAAACAAAATGACACTTCTTTAAAAAACAAAACAACCCCCCCCCAAAAAAAAAAACTGGAGTAGGCTAGAAAAATGACTCAGCAATTAAGAGCACTGACTTTGCTTTCAGAGAACCCTGGTTCAATTCCCAGCCCCCACAAGGCAGCTTCACAGCTGTCTATAAATCCAATTTCAGGAGATCTAAATCTTTATACCAATGCAGAGTTTAAAAAAAACTGTATCAAGGGTGTATAGATCAGTGTTGGAGGGACAAACAAACCTTTTGCTGTTTTCCTTTTCCATAAATGTAAGATTTTTCTAAACTCACCAAATATGTATTTGTATTATAATAAAAATCATTAAATTATTGTAAAACTACAAAATTATAAATTAATAAAACTGAATTACGTTGCAAAACTTTTAACCAAAGCAAAAATAATTCTATATATTTTAGGTATTGCGCAGCAGTTTTTAGGCAATGGTTACCGAACACATCTGTTTTAGGTAATGAAGTTAGTTATACTTTAGGCTACATAACTTAGAATGTTTTAACATTTGTATGGAGAGAGCCACCACTTCTGATCACATGTTTCTTACACTACAAGGTCTTGTCATGCTGACAGTTGTAATTCACTCACCAAACAAACAAAAACCAAGCGTTCATATATCTTGACTATACTAATGTAAAAGTTTGGTAAACTTCCACATTCTGTGTACAGGGTTAATGAGAGGAGATGTTACAGTACTAGTACTCACTATTAATATTCATTCATTAATCCATTCATGATGAAGTAACTGTTCCTGACTTATGAAAAAATAAAACAAAAACAACAACAAAAAACAAAACTTACTTGACTGCAATGGTTTGGAAAATGGGTGCAAATGTTAATCTTGAAAGCAAATTCAGGCAGCAAAACTCTCATTAAGGCAGTCCCTTAAATTAAAATGTTCAACTTTGGCAAAACTTATTTTTGGCAGTGGGATATTTAAGCAAAATTTGATTAATACAGTATTGCATAAGAAATTGATTTAAATGTATCCACTTATATGTTAGTTATTTAAAAAAAGTGCTACAAAAATTGTCAAAATTCTCAAGTTTGCTTTAACACAGCTATATGATATTCAATAAAGGTAAATTCTCCAGGAATTTGAGAATTTTGGTTATGTTCATTTGGGGATTTTTTGCTTTTGTTTTTTACTTAGGATCTCATGTTAATTATTAGGTAAGCTTTAACTTTGAAGTAACTAAAGATATCCTTGAACTTCTGATTCCCTCAGCCCCATCTCCTAAGTACTAGAATTACAGACCAGGCTTGATAGGAAAGTTTTGTAGAATATACCAAAAGCTTATTAAATATGAATTCTGCAGTGCAAACAAAGGCATCTATTAATGCATGTTTCTCTGATCAACTGTTTGCAAATTTCCCAAACATCCTTTCAGAAGACCAACAATAGTTTCCCTAGGGAAACAAAGAGGTTTCTCTGGACTTCCTAGCTTGATAGCCTGTAAAAACACCAGGATTCCTTCTTCACATAGAGCCCCTCTCTCACTGCTTTCATTCAAAATGAGGACCAGTTTACAGTCTTTTGGAAACTCTGATTTGTGCCAAGCAAAGATTGTTGCTTCAAGTGAAAAACTGCAGAAACAGGCAGGTAAGAATAGCAGGTACCACATCTAAATCTTGGCATTCTGGTAAAGTCAGGTCTAAAAGTAAAAGGTCATTAAACTGTAATGCTGTATTAGGAATTAAGCTTTTTCAAAATTAAAACCATCATCTAAAGGTGCAAAGGCAACAGAAACCAGTGATAACACTGATAGAAAACTTAGTATAGTACTCCTTACAAATGGCGCCCACGTGGTTAATAAGAACTTCCACTTAAAATTTAACAAAAGCTTAAAAAAGGGTTTTAGAAACAAAAGAACAGAGACAAGCAAGGTTTCTTGGTAGCAGCATTTTTCTCGGTTGAACTCTGCTTTGCTAGAGACAAGCAGATATTCGCACGGCTCCTTTAAGGGAAGATTCCTGACTCAGCATAAGCGGCAAAAAACCGCACAGCTTTTAAATAACTCTGCTAACAATTTATTGGTGTGTATGAGAGATGGCAATGGCAGTGACCACATCTCCAAGCCGGCAGCATGCTTTCTGTGTGGCAGTGCAGACCAAGGCAGTGAGCACAGCTTTCCGTGCTGGCGGGTAAAAGTACCCGCCACCATCTTTGGTAAACTGCGGCTGACACAGCTATGACTTTCATTTTAGCAATGTTGTTGTTTACCAGATAAAAGACTTGTGGCCAGACGAAGATAAAGATTTACAGTAAAGACAGATTCATATTAAGAAAAATCTCTAAAGGTTTACGGTGTGTTTTAAAATATACGTAGACATGAAAAAAAATGGTTTTAAAGAGACAAAGAGGAACTGGGTGTTGTAGCACACGCCTTTAATCCCAGCACCCGGGAGACAGAGGCAAGCAGATCTCTGTGATTTCAAAGTAAACCTGGTATGCAGAGTGAATTCCAGGACAGATAAGAGTTACACAGAGAAACCCTGTCTCAAAAAATAAAAAGTAAAAGAAACAGAGTAATAATAAAGCCACATAAAGATGAAAAGCTCAGAGAGAATCTGGTTACTGTATGCTATTGTGTTGTCTCTACATTGTTTGACTGCTGAGAAAATAACAACAACTGATAAAGGAAATGCTGCTGGATTAATTCAATTTATATATTTTAAAAATGCTTTGACTCAAACATTTAAGTTCAAGGACAAGTTACTGGGGAAAAGGATTTCTATTTTTGTTTCCACAGAAAATGAAAAGCTGTGGATTCCTTCCAGACTAATGTGGTTTGATCAAGCCAGGCCCCCTGAAACAGTCGCTGGTGATCCTACATTCAAAACAGCTGGACAAAGCAGCCTCACAGACTACAGCCAGGATTTCTGCATCTTCTTAGGATCCCCATGACAGCGCCCCCTATCAGCAGGAAGTAGTTTGGAAAGAACGACGCCCAAATTCCCAAATATTGTTTATAAATGTTTGTTTTCATTTAAATGGACTTGGTTATAAATGGTTAATGATCACAGCCAATTCTTTTTAAAGGTAAAAAGGGGATTATGATATAGATATGAATACTTTGTTTTGGAATGGATTTTCATTTATTGATACAATTTAAGGTCAATTTTGTCATATGTATATTTCTCCTCTTGTTTGTATAGCTCATTTAGAAATGTAATGTATAATGTAGTACAGATTATAGATAATTACCTATGATAGTCAAAGCTTAGAGTTTAGTTAGGGTTTTCAAGATACACAGAGATGTATGTAAGATAGATAGGAATTCTTCAAACCTTTCAAAGACTTACAGAATATGGCATTTAAAATGATTTAGGGTTTTACTTGACAATGAGACATAAATGCTCCTGGTAACACCACCTGCGTCAAAAAGGAAGATGGACATTAAAGAAACTCGTTATGGAGTTTGCTTTCAATATGGCAAGACTAGCCATGTGGACAAGATACTGCTCTTGTCTGGACTGTTTGACTTTGTGCTGTATAAACTGGACATGCGGGACCCATAGAAAAGTGATTGCTGATTCAAGATGGACATTGCTATAGAGTTTCTGCTTCATGGAAGAGTCTGCCAGACAGTCTGCAGGACACAGAGGAAAGTGACTGACAAACTGCCAATACAAGAAGACAGTTTAAAGTTTCCTGCTTTGCTGAAGGGTCTGCCAGACACACTATGGCCTATGGGCTGAAGATGGAAGATTACAAAAGAACTTCGGGTGACCAGGCAGTGAGTTGTCTCTGTCATTTCTAGAGTTTATATACTATCCTTCTGTGGTCTTTGAAGGAGTTGAAGACAGATAGTAATGGTTATAGTTTTCATTAGTTAGGATTAAAGATAAGTTACTTAGACTTTAGACACACAAAGTTAGAATAGATGATGAAATATTTTCTTCAAATCTTGCTAAGTGTTAATGGACTAAATATTGTTAACTGTGATTCTTATTTGATAACTGTTATGTGATATATTTTGCTATGTTAAGGTTAAAACCCTTTTTATTTAGACAGAAAAGAGGAGATGATGGGAGATGCCATTATGTATATGTTTCTCATACTTGTTAATAATAAAGCACTGTTGGCCAACAGGAAAGGAAGATAGGAGGGACTAGGAGACAAGGAGGAAATAGGAAGTAGTAAGGAGGAGAAAAGATGGAGAGTCTGAAGAAAGCAGTATGCCGCCGGCTCCCCGGTAAGAGAAAAACATAGATCAGCAAAAATGGGTTAATAATTAAGACAGAGCTAGCCGATAAGAAACTAGTAACTGGCCAACAGTATAATATCTAATACAGAGTCTCTGTGTGTTATTTGGGGCTGGCGCAGCAGCGGGACAACACAGGGCAGCGGCAGGCGGAAAAACCGTACTCCTTACAAGTCACTTTAGGTTTTATCTATGAAATCCATGGAGAGTCTCATTGGCAAAAATGAAAACAGGTCAGCACATTTATCACTCCACTGAGCTTTACTACACAAGCAAAGCTAATCTCATGACTTACTGAAATAACACAGGATTCCAAGTACAAGCTGTGTCTCGAATTAGTGGTTTCCTGTGAGATCCCCATGGTTCCTATCCTTTAAAGCCTTGGGCTTTAAACAAAAATGCATTTTTTTTTTTATTTTGCAGACATAAAACTATAGAAAATATTTTTTAAAATGAACCATTTTTCTCATGAATAGTCAAAACAATTGAAGGCATAATCTCTGTAAGAATAATGTGTTTCAGGTAGTAGGAGGGAAACATGAAGTCCAAACGGAAGACTCTTTGTTGTTTCAGTAATTATTTCTCTGGGTTATTTTTCTTCAAGATACTTCTCATCTTCTATTTGTTCATTCATTTCTTGCTAGTTTCCTCCATCATAAGTTCCAGGAGGTCAGACACCTCCCAGCTTTCTCTCTCTCTCTCTCTCTCTGTCTCTCTCTCTCTCTCTCTCTCTCGTGACAGGTCTCACTATACTCTGGCTGTTCTGGAACTCACTATATAGACTAGGTTGACCTACTCAGAGATCCATCTGCCTTTGCCTTCTGAGTGCTGGGATTAAAGGTGCCCATTGCCAGATCTTCTATATCTCCAGTTTCTGCAAAGTTGGGCATTGGGCAAATTCTCAAGAAACAATTTTGGGAGAAAGGAGAAGAAAGAGGGAAAGAAGATGGGAGGGAATTAGGGCAGGCAGGCAAGCCAGGCCATAGGTTTAAATATTCCATATTTTTGGGCTAGAAATGCACCAATCAACAAATCATAACTCAAGTGTAACTGGGAAAATAAAGCAAACATTTAACTTACTTTAACAGTCTATAATATGCAAGCCTGAACAGTTCTTGAATACACACAGACAGCAACACTCCAAAGATGAGCAAGTACTTCTGTACAGGTCCTTCTCTGTTGTCAGTAATAACTCTCACTAGGTACCAAAAAACAGATGAAAGCAGGAGAGATACCAGCCAGAAGAAAGCCCTGGAATGTAGGAGAAAAAAGCCACAAGTTAACAGAGCATGAGATTAATAATGACTTCAAATCTGCTGGAGAGGAAACAAAGATCCTGATTTTTTAATTGTGGGGGGGGGGAATCCTGGAAGTGGTGTTCTGGATCAGCAGGTGCTGATCAATGTTCCATTTTTCTCCTAGTGAGAAAAACAGTCCAAGAGAAATGTCACATTCGCTCAGCAAGAACGTGCTCAGTGACCCTGTCAAGTGCACCCTAAGATACTACCTGCCAAGGACTGGCTAAGAGGAACTTGGTTGTTGACTATTTTTTCTAAGAGATGCTTTTCCTCTTCGGTGTGCCATAGAAACATACAACCAGTGACTATTGCAATTTTCATAACAAAATTCTCCAGAAAGTATGTATTTAATGGCTAGATATCTGTAAAGATAAGTGTCTTTTTCTGACAGAAAACGTATACCTAAACTTGTAATAATAGTATGTGCCTTGTAAAATTCAGACGTTGCAAACCGGTTCCCTGGTGTTTTCCAGGCCCCGTTCTTACAACCCTTCTGTGGAGACAGCAAGCTTTATAAGCCATTGGGTTAACAGACTCTATTGTTTTTAAATTTCAATAGCAAGGAGCACTATTCAGTATAGTCAAAAAGAAGCTTCGAATGGCTGGAGTCCCTGGCCTAGCTAGCTGGCCTGATGCCAAGTCCCAGAAACTGTCTCAGCAGGTGCAAAGAGACCAGGACCACATCCACCAGCAGACTTCAGTATTACCAAGCCCCCAGGAGGACATGCCTGGTCAGGTGTTGCTGCATTTTCTCAGGCTTCCACCTCAGAGGCACCCCAATCATTACCGGGGGGGGGTCTACAAGAAAAAAATTTGAGCCCAAACCCCTCACAGACACTCTGAGTCCCAGGATGGGGGTTGCGGAGAAGTGGGTCACTGGTCCCCAGGTGACTTTAATGACAGGGTGAGAACCATTCTTCGATGCAGAGCACCTGGTGAAATGAGACTCCTAAGGAAAGACGAAGGCTCCACACATGAATGTTTCTGTCTCAGTGTTCCCACACTTAGCCCCCAGATGCCTAGATCCTTAGGGCGCGCCTGCTCAGCCTGCCCTTCCCCTCAGACTCTCTCAGGAGGGGAGGAGCCCCCCTTTCAGCCCTCTCTGTCCCACAGGCTGGAGATACTGGGGGGTGATCCCCGAGGCCATGGGAGCCCCGGCGCGGGAGGGGACCCGCTGTGTCAAGGACTTGGGGCCGTCTCACCCGGCGATGAGGAAGATGACACGCAAAGGGTCGGTGGCGATGGTGAAAACGTAGAGAGCGAGCGCGGGCCCGAAGGCGATGAAGGCGCAACCGAAGAACACAGCCGCGGTCATGGCGACCGCCGAAGCCGATCCGGGGAGCCTGAGGCGATCCGGGTGCGTAGGGCGCTGTCTTAGCGGGTTGCCGGGCGGGGCAGGCCTGCCAGGTGCAGCAGGCCTGCCAGGTGCTGTGTGCTCAGTCAGAGCAGGAGGCGGGGCCTGGAGAAGCTCTACAACAAGGCAGAGCCGTGGGCGGGGCGGAGCTCGGGAGGCGGGGCCTCGATAAACTACAAGAAGGCAGAGCCGTGGGCGGGGCGGAGCTCGGGAGGCGGGACCTCGAGATGTTTCACAACCAATCATAGCCGTGGGCGGGGCGGAGCTCCGGCGAAGGAGGCTGGAGGTGCTCACTCTCGGTCGCAGACCCGGGCCGAGGCGGAGCTCCGGAGGCAGTTCCGGCAGGTGCTCCGGGCGCTGAGAGTAAACAGACGGGCGGGGTCGGGGGCGGTTTCCTAAGAGGCTCAAAGTGCGGTCAGAGTCTGTGCTGGGGCTTCATATTCTGTCAGAGAGGCGATCCCTCGAGGGGCTCCGCAGTCGGAAACGGGTCGGGGCCTCTAGGGGATCTGCGAGCGGGGATCAGCTCAGGGGACCAGGTGTCGAAGGGCGTGCGCCTGGACGGTCTTAGAGTGCTGTCAGAGCAGGGGTCCAGCCTGTAAGGGGTCAGTGTGCGGGCAGGCAAGGGCGGGCCAGGGCGGCCTTCGGGGGCTCCACGCGCTTTCAGACCAGGGGGCGGGGCCCTGAGGGGCTGACTGACCTCAGGGCAGCAGGGTTGGAGGGGTCGGGGGAGGTGGAGATAGGGAATGTTCCCTCAAGGTTTTCTGGTGCAAAGAAAGTTAAGGACCCGCTGAGAACTAGTTTGGGTATGGAGAGATCCAGCGCCTGGGCCTTGGAGGGGAGATGAGCTGCACCAATCCTCAGACCTGGCAGCGCTGCAGATCCTTATTCCAAAGCTTGGCTCACTGGACATAGAAATGTGCTCAGAGCCATCTTCCCCACAGATGAACTTTGTCACTGGTGCCATCTGGCTGTGAGATGGCATAGGGGGATGCTAGGGAAGCACTTTTGTGCTTCAGATCAACTGAAGTAAACAGCAGGGCATAGTCAAGGTTTCTTTAAAAAAAAAGAAAAAAATATTCTTAAACTACATTTTTTTTTTCCTGGTCAGGTGTTGGTGCCACAAGCCTTTAAAACCAGCACTCAGGAGGCAGAGGCAGGTGGATCTCTGTGAGTTAGAGGCCAGCCTGGTTTACAGAGCGAGTGACACGACACTCTCCAAAGCTACAGAGAAACCCTCTCAAAAAACAAAACACAAACAAACAAACAAAAATCAATTTTTCTAGGGTTACAGGAACATCATGCGGCATCATATGTAAAAATACAGATTGGATTGGTATGACCCAGGTGATGGGATTGTTCCCAATGGAAAAAGGATTAAATAGTGAAGAATTGTTCTGACAAGCTGATTTCCGGGCCACTAACCCCATATTTTCGAAAGTTGTTTTTGAAGGCATTCTCTATGTCTGAATTTAAATTTTATGACAACAGCCACAGCTATGTTAAAGATTCTACAAAGTTGATATTGACTAATTACGACTATATAATTGTGGGGAGTTGTAAATATTATAGATACGGAGCCAAATTATCTTGAGCTAGCTAATCCCTTTAATAGCTATCCATTGCCCACCTTTGTGTCTACCCTAAAATCCTTGTGACTATCACATGACTTTTTTTTTTCATATTAACTACTGACCTCCACCAACCCAAAAGCTAAGAATGTCATCAAATGTCACCTGAGACCTGTAGCTGAGATTTCCCTGCTTTGCAGTGTATCTGAAGAGGCCTTGATTTATTGCTTTCTTTTATTTTGTAACTACAAAAACTTCATGTGCCCATTTCCATAGTGGAACACAGTATCTGGGGCAATCATCTCAGGCAAAGATCACTCAAACTTGGCTCCAGAATAAAAAGTTGTTTAAACCCTTTGAAATGAGAGCTGTGTTTTGCTTGGACAGCCCAATAGCAACAGTAAAATCTCCTTGCCATGAGCTCTAACACAAGTTCATTTTGCTGACTCATCTGTCTTCCCATTTAAATGTAAACTTCCAGAGGGCAGAGACTTTATTTCCTAGTACCTAGAAAAAACTCACTAAACTATTTTTCAAGGGATAGAATAATTTTAGAAATGAAACTTAGAAGCATCTGAAATCTATTAATTTAATAATTTCTGAGAGGTTTAAAAATAAAAAGTGTCATTCATATTTAATATATTCATTCATGTTAAATGAGAATAATACCTCATGAGTTATCTTGAGGACCAAACCTGGCATACCTATACATTCTTTAATATGAACTGTCCCCTTCAGACAACATGTTTTTGAACACTTGGTCTCCAACTGGTGGCACTGTTCATGGAGGTTGTGTAATCTTCAGGAGATAGAATGCTGATGGAGGAAATGGTTTGTTAGGGGTGGACCTTGAGGTTTTGTAACCCAGTCCCATTTCCTGTTCATATGATTGTGGATGTAGTATGACCAGCTGCTTCCCCTGCTGATGGGAGATGTCATGCTGTCTATATATTTCTCTTACTGGTTAATGAATAAAGGGATTTTAGAAACAAAAGAACAGAGACAAGTCTTGGTAGCAGCATTTTTCTGGGTTGGGCTCTGTTTTGCTAGAGATAAGCAGAGACTCGCCCCAAGCTCCTTTTAGGAGGTTTCCTGACTCGGCATAAGCAGAAAACAAACAATCAAAAAACAAAACAAAACAAAACAAAACAAAATAAAAACCACCAAACCAACCAAACAAAAACAACCCCGCAGGGCTCTTTTAAGAGGCCCTGCTAACAATTGGCATTGGCAGTGACCACATCTCCAAGCTGGCAGCATAGACTGAGGCAGCAAGCATAGCTTTCAGTACTGGCAGTAAATGTAACCCGCCATATTGGAAAGCCAGCCACCAAAACAGCCGCTTTAATTTTAATAATGCTGTTTAGCTGACACAAGACAGTAAAGAATAGATTCAGATAAAGTAAAATCTAAAAGGTTTTCTACAATGTGTTGGGAGACAAAATAAAAAGGATATTTGGTTAAAAAAGAAAAAAAAATAAAAGCGACTGGGCAATGGTGGCAAACGCCTTTAATCCCAGCACTGAGGAGGCAGAGGCAAGCAGATCTCTGATTTCAAATCGAACCTGGTGTATAGAGTGAATTTCAGGGCAGACAAAAATTTACAGAGAAACCGTGTCCCAGAAAATGAAAAAATAAAAGAAAAAAAATAAGAGTAATAAAAAAAAGCCACATAAAAATGGAAAATACACAGAGTCTGGATACTGGATACTATAATGATGTCTTTAAATTGCTTGTTTGCCGAGGAAAGAGCTACAGCTACTAAAACACATTTGATTATCAATACTGCTAAATTAATCCAATTTATATATTTTAAAGATGCTTTGACTTCAAAATTTAAGTCTACGGATATATTACTAGGGAAAAGAATTTCAATTTTTGTTTCCACAGAAAATAAAAAGCTGAGGATTCCTTCCAGACTAACATGGTTTGATCAATCAAGACCTGCTGAAATAGTGTCCAACATTCATAATAGCTGGAACAAGGCATCCTTGCAGACTACACCCAGGATATCTTCGTCTTTTTAGGATTCCCATGGTATTACAGAGTTCCCAACCAGCAGGAAGTAGTTTGGAAAGAACAATGCTCAAAATCCCAGTGTCTATAAATGTTCGTTTTCATCTAAATGGGGATGGTCATAAATGGTTAGTAATCACAACCAATCTCTTTTTAAAGGTAAAAAGATTATGGTATAGAAATGAATACTTTGTTTTGGAATGGATTTTCATTTATTGATACAAATTTAAGGTTAATTTTGTGATATATTTCTCTTGTTTAGGTTTTGTGTTTGTATAGCTCATTTAAAAATGTAATGTATAATTAAGTACAGATTATAGATAGTTACCTATAATAGTCAAAACTTATAGTGAGGTTTGTTAGGTTTTTATAGATATTTAGAGATCTATTTCAAATGGATAGGCATTCTTCAAACCTTTCAAAGACTTACAGAATTTGACATTCAAAATGGTTTTTCTTGACAGTGAGACATAACTGCTCCTGGCAACATCACCTATGTCACAAAGGAAGATGATATCAAAGAAACTCGTTATGGAGTTTGCTTCCAATATGGCAAGACTAGCCATTTGGGCAAGATACTGCTCTTGTCTGGACTATTTGACTTTATGCTGTATAAACTGGACATGCAGGACCCACAGAAAAGTGACTGCTGAAACAAGATGGACAGTGCTATAGGGTTCCTGTTAAATGGAAGAATCTGCCAGACATTCTGCAGGACACAGGAAAAAAAATAACTAACTACCAACACAGGTGGGACAGTTTAAAATTTCCTGCTTTCCTGAGAAGTCTGCCAGATACATTGTGGCCTATGAGCCAAAGATGGATGTGCCAATTTACAGAAGAACTTTGGATGACTGTCCAGGTAGTGAGATGTCTCTGTCATTTCTAGAGTTTATATACTATCCTTCTGTGGTCTTTGATGGAGTTGAAGACAGATAATTATGGTTATTGTTTTCCTTAGTTAGGATTAAAGATAAGCTACATATATGACTTTAGACTCACAAAGATATATGATGGAATATTTTCTTTAAAGCTTGATAAATGTTAATGAACTAAATATTAACTATAGTCCTTATTTGATAACTGTTTTGTTACATATTTTACTATGTTAAAGTTAAAACCCTTCTTTTTATTTTAGACAGAAAAGAGATCATGGGAGATGTCATTCTGCATTTGTTTCTCTTATTGGTTAATGAATAAAGCCCTGTTGGCCAATAGGAAAGCAAGATAGGTGGGAGTAGGAGACAAGGAGGATTCTGGGAGGTATAGTAGAGAAGTCAAGATGTAGGATGTGAGAGAAGAGGTCTGGACCCTCTCTCTGGAACTATAAGCCCATGTGGAAACACTTAGATTGATAGAAATGAGTTAATAGCCAAGACAGAGCTAGCCACTGGCCAACAGCTTTATAACTAATAGAGTCTCTGTGTGTTATTTTGGGGCTGACAGGGTTGTGGGACTAGGCTGATG